TACCTACCACACGTTTTATTTATTGTGAAATGAGTAAAGTTATCCCAAGTTTCTTATATTAGATCTACTTATACATTCCTTTATTTACAAAAAATTATAGTATGCAGCTACAGTAATATTCTCTTTTTTTTGTCTACAGTTATCGCAATATCTTGGTGTGAACTTGAAAAAAGCACAACTATTACAATGAATTCTACTTAAAAAAAATTGTGTAATCAGATTAAAATTATTTCATAATTGGTTGCATTATTGATCAAATTTTAGTTTTTGAGGAATTCTGTAGGGTGTAGCTGAACACTGATTTGTATAAACCAGAAAAATGCATACACGAATGTTATACGTGCTTTATTAGTTTATAACATGTTAAATTGTTATCATTATTCCGAATTTATCACCTTGTTATTTTATCTATAATGTGATGAGTTTGTTTTTATATAAATTTATAGTCTTGAATGGTTTCTGCTTTTTAATGGAAGTTAAAGTGAAGGAAACACAGCAAGTAGGTTTTCACAATTTTTTTTATTCAACATGTGACATACAGTATGTTTTACTAAACACTGGATTTTTGTGATATGAATATACTTTTAGGTATTAAATCTCAAAACATTTTTCCAAAATACGATCATTTTTGAATCATGCATTCGTAATTATACATACATATATACGTCTGTATAAAGTAAAACATACATTGACAATTAACATTAGAATTATATGTGTACATCATTGATGTATATGAATAATGGTGACTCATCGCATAAGGCGTTTTATATGTACAAGATGAAACTAGGGCCAGTACCTTTTTTATCTGCACAGTAGGTTTTATATAATTTATGATAATATTCGTAATTATCAGTCATTACAATTTTAAATTTCAAATATTTTTTATGCAAACTAAAGTAATGTAAAACAAATACCATTTCTTAAAAAGTACCACAATATTGAAAAGTGCTTCATAACTTTTAAAAAGTTTTTAAACTGACAATATTTAAAAAGTAATGTGGACTTACAGTATGGCCTAATTAAAGGGGGGCAGTCGTAGTCATAACAATGTTAACATTGATGTACAAACTTAAACAAACTTTCTAGTAGTATTATATTACTCGATAGTAAATTTGTTATGGCTAATAAGTGGTTCGTAAAAGAAAGCCGTCACAGAAGGGTTATTTTCATTTCTAATTTACCTATCTATTTCAGTTTTAATTACATAAAATCCCTTATTATTTTATGTTTAAATGCAGGGGGTTATTACATGTACGTTAGCTATTGTAGTCTCCAGAGCCCTCCAACCTTAAGACTGATGGATTTTTTTTTTGTCGATAACACTACCTATTTGTACTGTAGAATTAATTTTAATTTGATAATTAAAGGATGTCATAAACTCAGCCACTTAACAACCCTCTAATAGATGTACTCTAGAATTTATTCTAAAACAAAATACGGATGTGAGCATTAATGATATACTCGAAAGGCTTTTTCTAATGGCGTAGCTAATTTTTTTGGAGCACTCCTCCCGCCACAAATCTCCTTCAGTCCCTCCTCACAGTCACTAAATGTGAAAATAAATAAAAAAATTGATTAGGTATAGTATTTAAAAAAAAAAGACGCATAATGTGTGCGACCTGCCGGCTATCAAAACTGTTCGGCACATTATCTTTGAGAGCTTGGCCTTAATTAAATTAATTATTGGAAAATTAGTTCGGTTGGAAGAGGATGGTGGTCCTTTTTCTCTGATTTAATCTCTAAAGTGAATGCACATGTTTCCGTTGCCAAATTAATGTGTGTAAATACATATATCGCTACGTGTTATGTATGATCTACTCTTACAATCAATTTCATTACGTGCTACATAAAGTTGCTTCAGGCTTGTATTCTAAAATTTTAATTGACAGTGAGACAATTAGATGCAGTCACTACTTTGAAATTAGTTTATTAGTTATGCCTATAGGCGGTACTATTTTATATTTCATTGTTGAATTATGAACAGGGGTAATAACGCAGTAATAAATAGTAAAAATAGCTCGGTGGTTAATTACTTGGTGAAAAATGGCAATTACACTGAGCAGCTCAGCTATTGATAATGGATGTTAAAGATTTGAATTTTTCTTCTGTTAGAAACTAAATTAATCTTCAATCTAAAATTAATTATATTGTAACCGAAACCTCCCACAAACCCCCACCGTTAATGCGGACCCCTCTTTAACAAATTTAGTTTTGCTTGTTTTTATTGGTTTCGGTTAAAATTGATACAATTAGAGAGGAATCGAGACAATATAATTAGGTTTAAATTTATATAAGACTAATTTAATTGTCGAAACGAATTTTAGGTTTCTAAACGTTTTGTGGAATTTTAGGTTTTAAGTGTTTATGTAGTTACGCTCCACTGCACGCAATTATATTTTGTATAAATTTATAGTAAATATATTTCTTTTTGTTTGTTGCTTAAGTGTAGCGAAGAGAACAATAAAAAAGAAGTTACATTTAATTTGTTAAATACATACATAGATATTTTGATTTGATTTTATTTTGTAACAAACTGTTTCTTATCAGTTAACAATAATTAACGTTTTACAGTTGCAAAATAATGTGGACTAATACAATTAATATTTACTAAACTTGCGCGGTCTCTTTTTAAACAATATACGTTTTTTTAAAAACGTCCTCGTGATGTAGTTTTGTTGCAAAGCCTATATATCTATTTCTTCTGCTGTACTTAATGTATATTCGGTAGTGTCATTTTAATTGTACTTAGAACAATACCTTCTTTAATGAACTTGTTAATTAATTAAAACAAGTTGTACTCTGTGCCAGCAAGAAAATAGAAAGTAGGTAGATAAATAATTTTTATTTAGGTTTTTATTAAATTTTTATAATAAATATTGTGTATAAATTTAAATTTTTTATTATTTGCAGTCATGTAGAATTAAATTTACAGAAATATTTACTCTCAATAAATTTTGTTAATCGTAACAGGTTTTGTTTAATGTTTAACGACAGTTAATAATTAAGATAAGTATTTTGTAATTTACCTGTTGCATTTCTGAATTTATTTATAATATTTTTAACTTTTTGGTTATTCCTACGAATCGATACCTACTTGCAGTTCAAATTTATTTCTATTATTAACGTATCATTATCAATTAACGAAACTTATTTTAACAACTCCTTCCAATTTTAATTTTTGCCATTCTATACGGTATAATACTCATATTTTATAGAAAATTGATTTGCA